ACTTCTAAGAATGATTAAACGAATAGTAAAATTTAACCATAATCCACGCTGAGCCACTAAAACATTGGATTTATTTTCTGATTACAGTATTTTTACATGCACATGTAGCATAGCAACAACTTAATCAATATATGAATATAACTATTTACATTACATTAAAATAACTAAGCACAGTTTCTTTGTCTTAGATACTTCTGTTTTGTAATTGCAAAGTGATTTCTAATTTTTGGAGTGCTCCCAGTTCCTTTTCTTTCACCTCTGTTCTTTCTCCCAGAGAGCCTTGGCACTCAGATTACTTGAATAACTATATTATTATATTATAGCACATTTAATTCCCAAACATAATCTACAAAGGTAGTCATGCAATTACGAGTCAAGAGAGTGGATGAGTTTGTAAAAATAGAAACATTTTCCCAAATATATTATAGTTATAMGCCCAATCACTGTCTCCCTTAATGGAAAGTGCAGTAATGTTATCTTTCAATTTTGTGGTGAGAAACCAGGCTGACGTGAGTTTTGCTGTATTCAGATTCTTGAGAAATGAAATATCCTTGCATGGTAAAGACAACATGTGTCTGTAGCAATATATCATATTTTCTCCTGGGAGTTTTGCCTGTGTAGCTGCAACCCAAGAACTCTTCAGTAGGTTGAGCTTACAAAAACAGACCTCTTGTTTTATACATGTAACAACTAATTTACAAGGTGTAATTGGGAACTATATAACAGAGTTTATCCTCCTGTTTATCCTCTGATTGTAAAGTTTAAGGTTATGTATTTACAGCTAATGATATGTTTATGCTACATGTACATGTATCAACCAATAAGAATTCAAGTCTTTTGTTTACAAGAAGCCATTTTAGTGTGAAAAAATTATATGTATGTTGCATGTCAGAAAACAATTTCATAGCAAAATATTTTTAATTAAAATTTGTTTGTTTTAGGGAAGGCATGTTATTATTTACCTTAAAGTTACATGTAGTTTAAAATGAAAACCAGGATCCCCTAGATTAATTTAAAGTTAAAGAGGTGACCACACCCTTCACCCCCTGAGGCTCTAACTCTCCCCTMAAATCAACTGTACCTTCCCTAAAAAATCTCTTCAATTAATTTTTTTGAAATATTTTAGCATGTCATCCTATGATTTCTCCACTGACTTTTTTGCTAACAATAAAACCAGCAAACCAAAAGCACAATCATTTATACATGGTGTGCAAAATTATTTTCAGTTTTCATGCCAGACAATCTTCCACATAAAAAAATGAGTCATTTCCAATTATGACATTCTTTTCCTCTCTTCCCTGTCAATGTTGATCCGGGACTGCAATAAGACAGAAACACTACAAAACTGACAGAGAACTCACCCAACAACATTGTAGAGGGGTGCAGGGTCATAGGTGACCCATTATTTATTTTGCAGAAGATTGTACATTGCAATTCTGACACAGCAGTGGTGTCACACAAMACCACAGCTGTGACAACATACTATAATTGTAATAACAGTGTTGCTATCACAAAAAAAGTTTCAGTTTTTTCAACTAAATATGGCTGATGTTGTGAAGAACCTGAGTCAGAAACTTGTGAGGGATTTAAAACATGCATGTATGCTCTGATATTGGAAAGAATAAATGTGCCATTTTGATTATCTTCAGTATTAAAAGAAGTAACCAAAATGACTGCTACCCTTGAAGGGCAAGTCTATCAAAATGCAGCACGCTAACTGCGACCACTTGTGTAAAACTGAATCATCAGAAAACAGAATTGGAAYGTCTATTGTAAATAGAATTAGCAGTCAACTTTAAATTATCTAAGCATTATGGTCCCAGCCTGCAAGCTGCCAGAGAAATGTTGTAAATATCAATTCAATTAGCTGAAAGAGCAAGAAGCTGACAGCTTTAGCTCATGTTTCAATCCCTTACAAGTTTCTGCTGATTTTGACACGAAAATACARTGTTGAGATACTTGTTTCAAAGCTTGATCAACGCATTTTGTAAGCCTGACTTCTGTCATATTTGCAGAGCTCACCATCAAAGTTTAGCTTTATTTTGAAATCAAGATCTCGCTGAAAAATAAAGAATAAGGCAACAGTTTAGATATATTGATCGATAAACATGAAAAAAAAGTGCAGAGCATTAGTGGGAAGACAGGGGGACCTCACAGACCCTTTAGGGCTTGGAGTCTTTATGAAGGAATAAGAACAATACATGCCTGCTGGTTTAACTAATTAAAAAATTATTTTCTTGGCTTATTTATGAACAGGATTTGTAAAAATGACTTGCAGGGTATTAATTCMACATCATTTCAATAATCCCAACCTCTTTACTATGGGAGGCTGACTCTATTTAGACAATAGCCCACTTMGCGGATAACACAGCTATTAGAAATTGAACAAATAACGAAAAACGATTACCACCASTGGGAASACCAGTGTAAAATTAGTATGTTTACCAGGTTTGAGCATGATTCGATGAAAATTCAAGGAGATRCAGCGTTTAAGTCCAAAATTTACATGAGAAATGTATGGGCTGTCGGCATGAGATCGAGGTTGACCTTGACTTGTTACAACCTCGCCAAACATTTCTAAGCAAAATTTAATGTTTTGAAGTGCCGTATCTCTTTGAATTTTAATCGGATTATTTTCAAACTTGGCAAATTTGCTGATTCTATGACACTCTTTCCAGTGATGTCAATGATTTACCATAACGAATTATCAGTGAAAAGGTGTATTCTTTGCTTTTTACATCTTTAGTTTTGTTATACATGTATATCATTTTTTACCACACATGTAAATTAATGTGCCCTGATTGGCTGATTAGAGTGTGTCTATTGATTGGCTGATTAGAGTGTGTCTATTGATTGGCTGATTAGAGTGTGTCTTTTGATTGGCTGATTAGAGTGTGTCTNTGAGCAATTCGCTTAAAGAACAATTTTTATAACCATCCAAATACTTGTACTTGAGAGTTTCATTTTGGCGTTCAATACCGTTGTTTGTGTGTACTGCAACTATGTACTCTTCTCCTCTGTACGCGTGGCACCATCGCTGTAACAGTATAAAGAAATGATGTTATACAATTGTAAGTTTGCCCATTGCTGATTTGTGCGTAATTGGTGTTATGTGTATACTCATGTAAATACCTCCTTGTGGGGCAACCACGTATTATCAAACCAGTTTCTAAGCTTTTCATTTGCAGTCCACATGGTACTTTTTTTTAGCTTTTGTATAGCCGTCGTCAGTTGTGTTAACGTCGGTGCTGTGGCAATGCTTCTTAGCATATTTAGAATGCAATCGCGGATATYAATCACGCCGTTGGTATGCTTGCTTGTCCACTCCCACCAAGCTTTCTCCCGATGAAAGTCGCACAACACAACAGTCGAACCTAGCGAAATTAGTATTTTCAAATGAATCGTGTAAGAATATTAAAGATAATCGCAAGCACAATGCAATGGTAGGGTTGGCGGTATCTAGCGGACACTTACTTTTGAAAGTGTTCTCCAATGCTTGAATTTCCTCATCCGCAAAATCAGTCATAAAGTATCGCGGCTGCCAATTTGAATTCCATGACTTGATGACATCTAAGGCTTCACTGATGCATGGAATGGTACTGTACTGGATGACAAATGTGCCAACAACCTCATAACAGACGTTGGTGCGTACGCATAGGAAGAAAAGCGGAAGGGCATATCGTGTGGTCTTATATGTAGCATCTAGGAGGCACATGTCATTTCCATAACGCGTTAATAAACGTCTTTGCTCTTCCGTCTGATGGCAGAAAAGAAGACTTTGCTCCTCTGTAGTTGGTGTTGGCTCTGGCTCTGCGTCATCGTCGTCGTCGTCCGGTTCCTCAACTTCAGGTCCATGCTGCTCCACGTCTTCTTTGCGTGTAATTTGGTTGGAATTCACTTCTGCACGTTCTCGGAAGTAGAATAGGTCGCCAGGTCTCTCTAACTTCCATTTTTTTATCATTTCCTGTATATTATGCTGGTCCATTTTCGCCAGCCTATTCTCTAATTTGGCTTTTGAAATATAATAATCCAGGTCTTTTCTTCTTGGGTAATATCTCCGGCGGTGACTTTTTGGCAATGCTTCGCYCTTAAAGATGTCGTCTCTTACAAAGTTGTTGAGATGTCGTCGCATTTCCCCTCGTTTTCGGACGCCTTCTAGGGTAAGGTCTGTGATTTTTTTAATTATTCTCTCATCTACTTTTTCTCTMATCCCAGCAGCCTGATGCACGGAAAGAATAACAGAAATGAAATTCGAGTGCCAATACAATGCCTTATCATWATCATATCAGGAAAACCTTACCTCTYCCATCAAATGATAGCGATGATCAGACGAGCTTGGAAGTTTAAATATGTATTGTACATCCCCTTTCACACATCCACTCGTCAAGTCCTTACGAAGTCTTTTTGATGTGACGTCTAGATTATTTTTCTCTTTCGAAACAGTCTGTAAAAAGAATAATAATAAAACTGTTTTCGTTAATAACTTGAAAAAANTTGTTTTTACGCGTACAAAAACAAACCGATTAACGGAAACGTCTCATATAACACTAACATTACACCAACCTATAACGGAGTAAAACAATTCAAGATTATAGTGATCAATCCTCTAGAGTTTATTAGACGTTCACAAGTTGAGAATCTGGTAAAAAATCGGCATAAAAGCTGCGACTTTTCAAATAAATTTTGACATATAACCGCCACATCGAGAAATCAAGCAAACCGGAACAGCTTTTAATTGGCTTAAATTTATTGTCACGCGTCACGCATTGCAAGGAGGCGGAACGGCTCTCAACCCACCCAACGTATGACCAAACAAATCACCCCACCCCACGTATGACCAAACAAATGCTAATTGGTTGGAATTCTTTGCATAATTAATTTACAAATAAATATGTGTAAACATGGGCTGTACTACATCAGTATTTAAACTGACCTTCAACAAGCAAGAATTGGTTACAACTTGTTTTGGTTCAACCACATCAACCAATGGTTCTTGTATAGCAACCTTCCTTACGGAGCTCATGTCAAATCCATATACACGATCCCACCCTTGAATAAAATAATAGTACAACACCTTTTATTACAAGACAAAGAGTTAAGAAGTTTTTTTTCCATACAACCCTTTAACTAGCCTCTAGTCATTTCTTTCAATGTACAGCATATTTTTCATGCACATGATAATCTAAATAAATAATTACTAAAACATTTAAATGAAAATAATTTCTTTTAAATCTATTATGTAGTATATGGAAATAAAATTAAATAAAGATTGATTGATAAAGATTGATTGATTGAACTAAGACTTAGTATACTTACAGAAAATCTTCTCTTCTTTATACTGTCTGTCTTCAATAGCACATATGTACAAACAAGCTTTGTCAGGAAATAACAAGCCATCTTCAGCCTGATGTTGATAAAAACATCAAGTTTACATCACAATATTCATAGTCATAAGTTGATATTATTAACATGTATCTTTCAAATAGTAAAGTTTCTTGTAACTGTAAAATAAGCATATTACTGTACATTTGTTCTGCTTCAAACTTTCACTTTGACTTACCAGCCATTTGTCTCTGGCAAACAAGACAGTATCTAACATGGACTCATAAAATAGACAGTAACCCATCCATTCACTTATAATGATATCAACTTTATCTACTGGTAGTTGAACATCCTCAACTTTGCCTTTGATTAGGGTTATCACTATAGTAACAGGAGACATAACATTACTTCAAGTTGAACTTGTAGTGAAAAATTATCAAAAATATGTAAATAACTAGCCATTCTTTACCTGAATCAAGCTTGTTATCTTTGATTATAGTCTTTGTGTAATCAACAATGGAAGACATTTCAATCTGACAAAGAGAGGCGGTCATAACCACCATTATTTACTATAACAAGGTCAATGCAAAACAACAATGTTGATGTATACAACAAGCATCGACAATTCCTATTTTTGACATGGATTTAACAACAAACTTTCTTGTTATTGTTTTCGGCCCAGTATCCTAGTCATTTGCGCGCTGTGATTGGCTAACCGTTCTAGTTTTTCATGATCTGTCTAGTCCACGGTATCCTGCAGCAAGGCTGCGAGCAAATTGTATAAAATACAAATAAAAAAATATAAATGTTATATTCAAGACCTTGGGCAGTGTTTTCCTATACGGACCTCCCATCCAGTAAATAACATATAATATATTATCATATGACCCGTATTTCGGCCCTACGCGCGCTCTCACTGAAACCTTTGGAAAATGGTCACGTGATGGGGTCCGTACGCCTTTTTGCGACAGGTCCGTACAAACCCGTATTTTCCCGGCTTGAAGTTCCGCGCGCTTTTATTTATTTTTTTACATTAAAAAACGCTGTCATATGATAAAATGCTTATTGACTGAGTTAGGTCGGGCCGTACGGGAAAATATTTGGCTCTCGGTCATTTGTACGGACCTCGCTGCGCTCGGTCCGTACGGCATAACCTCGAGCCAAATATTTTCCCGTACGGCCCTCCCACTCAGTCAATAAGTACATA